ATTTTCATGCAAGAAAAACATCTTTTTTTTTATTTTTCTATTCTCACGGGTTCCATTTCATAGCTGATGCAAAAGTATTTAGGTACTTTTAGCTGCAAAACTTTCCTTCTTGCTCACGTGAGCATTCTTAGCGAGGATGGCAGAGAGATATTACCCAACAGCACAAAGATATCTAGGCAAGGGGAGGCAGCAAACACCTGGAATCGCTGGGGAAAAGCAGCAGTGCCCCAAATCTAGCTCTCACTTTCCACGGTACACCATGGGAAAATAGTTTTAAATAGTTCCTCTGCACTCGCAGCAGAGCACAAATCAGTCCTTGCACCACAGAGATGAAAACCACGTTCAGACTTGCTCTGCCTGGGTCCTGCTGCTGCTCCTGTATCACACCAGTTACACACCAGCATCGGGAGCCCGCACTGCATTTCCTACCAAATGCTTGCCTGGAGCACCTCTCCAGAACAGACATGAGATCAGGCAGCGCGCTTCAAGCTGTGTGTCTGAGAGCAGGACCTGCACAGTCATTAGTTAAGAATCCGAGATGAAAAAACACTTTCCCAGACTAATAGAAATAAGGAATAATTATTTTTTTTTTAAATCCTGCCCCCCTGCAGAAGCCAAGCAGTCTGTTCCAATGGAATAGTCCTTTCACAATTATTTCCATTTCCTTCCTTCATTCACTAAGAAAAAAAGCCCGCTTTGACTGAAAACCACGTTAACATAACTTCAATAGCAGGTCTGCGAAAGACCTGCTGTAGACTGGCCTTCATGTAATCCCCCTCAGAACACACACACTTCAGCTTGAATTAAAATTCAAACATCGCTGTCTTAAAATTCTCTGAGCATCTCCCTTATTCTGGGATGACACACTGTTTGTCTTCTGTCCTTTCTTAAATAGCTGCTATTGCCTACTCCCTAAAACAAGGTAATGTGTTAGCAGATTGTTAATCTGAGCATATATGGCAGCTACTGCTTCTTACAATGTCAAAAATTATTAAAAATGCCCAAAAAATTCTATGCTGGTGCCAGTTTCCAAGTGGTTCCCTGCTCCTTTACACTATCTTTGGACAACCAAGTAGTAGCGGTGCAAGTCCTTCGTGCCCTGCGTTTCTGGACGGATGGGACAAGCCTCACGGCTGTGGTGATAGCTGAACCACCGCACATAGGAGGCAGCCCTCACGCAGAGCCTGGGATGTGATTTGGGGTGGCAGTGAAGCCCATGGGACTGAATCTGGGTCTTTACGGTGTCGTAAAGACCCCACCTGAAACCAAGAGTGCTCTTAGCCTACCCATTACATACCAGGCTGCTCTGCAGGTGATGGGGGTGTTTCGTAACGATTCCCTTCCCCTTTAGTATATGTAAGCTTATAGGGAAGGTGAACCGAAGTTCATGTGATCCCTCTCTAGAGAGACACATCACTTGATAGACAGGGACATAACGAACGTGAGTTTGACCAACGCTGCTGGCCAGATCACACCCCCGATCACTGTGATTTTGAATGTTCTGGAAGAACAGGTACGCAGGGCTTTGACGCAGCCTTCATCGGGGGTGAAGTTCAAGCCAGGTTGGTAGAAGTGACTCACCTGGTCACCTGGTCTTTTTGCTGTGCCAAGTGCATCTAGGTGACTTCATTTCTGCCCATGAAAACCCAAAGCAAAGGAGTTCTGCAGCCTCAGACTTGCACCGTGCAGTACTGCCTTAAGTATGCCCTTAAGTACCTTCCTACGGCAAAGCAATTCATCAAGTTTTGATTAATTAGGGCCTCCAACTTGACCCATTTTCTTCTCCACTGTGTGAGCGGACCAGACAGTGACTCCGATACTTCTTCACATGCACATTTCATCCCACGCTGCAGACTCCTGCGGTGCAAACAGCTCCTCACTCAGCATGCAGGGAAACATACCAGGCATGCTAGCACAGGACACACAACATCACTCTGCAAATGCAACTCCAATAGCCCTTGACTTTATGGATTAGCAACAGAGAAAGCCTAAGTTACATAAAGAGGAAGATTCTTTAAATTGAAAATGTAAATGCACTTTCACCAAATGAAGAGCATTTATCTTGGCTGGAAATTTTGATTTAACTGAAAGTGCATCCAATTCACTTATTCCATTATTTCAGAATAAAATATGAGAGAAGCGAAGGTTAATGAATCAAGGTAATGAATTATAACTGAGCCAGGAAAAAGCCTTCCAGCACCGAGACACCATCCCTAGCAACATTCTCGTCCTTTTCTTCCTCTTCTAGTTAAGCTCCTTGCCTTCGTGTCCTACACAGTCAAATTTAACACTCTTCTACGTACTGGTCCTGTCTTCACCCTCTTTCACGTGGAACTTATCCTTGCATTAGCAGGGCCCTTCCAGAAGGCCGAAAATGTCTATTTATTATTTGTGCAAATATTTACTGCTTCCTGAAATGTCACCATCAGCCTACCAATAGCATACGGTAAGAAACTGGCCAGGATGTACATTAACCAGCCGTTCCTCCACAAAGACTCAGAGCTGCTTAACCACGTGTCTGGGTCTGCAAGTGTAATGCCCAGGGGTGAGGCTGCTTTAGCTTAAGTACTCGCCACCTGTATTTCTGAAGTACGAATTCTCTTCCCCAGCTGCCAAGAAGGCTTTTACTGAAGTTGCAAGTGAGTCAAGGACTAACTCCAATAATTACGTGCTTGTATCATCTTATTAAGACTATTAACTCACAACCTAAATTCTTTACTTCTTGCACAAGCTGTTACTCACCAGTGAGACCTGAAGCAGTTCTGGTTCTGTATTCACTCAACGAGGTACCTTGTCTTGTGTTTTCTTTGTCTTGAGAATTACCAAGAATTAATCCTACTCTTCAGGAAACTGAATACACTCCAGGGAAAGGTTTGGCTGTTTTAAATTTGCTGATTTCATATTGAGAATAGGCCCTTGAACAAATAATGAATTGGCTATACGACACTTTTTAAACTCCAGTGTTTACAGTTAGGTGTAAGTCTCTGATCCACATGCCTGAATGAAGCTGTCTAGAGCTGGATGAGGTGCCAAAGGGTATTCCAGCAGCTCCTAATCCAAAGGTCATGTCTCTCATAAGGGACCCCATCTCTGCCAGCCCTGCATGGATGCTCCAAACACCTTATTTAGGCCTAAACACCCCTACCTTATTTAAGTCTTGATATAGTGCCTGCTAAATTTAATAAGAGTGTTTTCATTAGTCCCTGAGTATTTCTTACTACAGGTCCCAATATGTGGTCTCCTATCTTGTCTTATGCTGAAGAGCAAAGGCCAGTGCAGACCACGTCACCCTACTGGGCAACCGGCAGAGAGAAGGCGGCAACATGGCTGAGGTAGAATGGAAAGCAAGCACTCTGAATTTGGCCTTTAAGCTCTTAAATCAGTGCTGGGTACTTCTAAAGATGGGGCGGCTAAAAGTACAATTCTGTATTGTTTGTATGTATGTGAGTAATGGAGCAAGGCACCATGAACAACCCTCAAGCTAAGACCATGCTCATGAGAAAGGCTGAGCTGATCCCAGCAGGTGACTGTATCGAGACCCATAAAGCTAACTTTAGGTACCTATTATTGACGGCTGATGGATAATTTTAAACTGGAAATAAGGGTTAAGCAGCAGGGGAAACTTAATCATTGAAGCAGCTTCCTAGATGGTGGTTCAACTTCTACCAACTTCCGTGTTCATCTTCTATCAATCTGAATCTTGAGGTAAGCTTTAACTTCTGTGAAGCCAGTGTCTCCTAATGCTGTCTTGCTCTTCTTGAAGTCACCCTTTAAATCAAGAGCTGCTTGATTTCTAGAAAATACGGTATAGCTGAACAGGGTGTTAAAATCAGGTGAAATACCACTATGATACAAGGCTCAGTGGTTCCTTCTGGTGTTCAAATCTGTGACTGCATGAAAATCTGAAAGGACAGCGCAGGGTCCCAAGAGAACATGAAGAGAGAATGTGCTCATGGAGACATGAGAATCAGGTGTTCAGAGTAAGGATTTTCTTCTTTCTGGCGCCAAAATAACACGTGGTGAGCAATAATATGTGGTAGAGAGAATAAACAGGGATCAGTAAGAGGCATTGTAATGAACTCTCTTCCCCCCCCCCCCCTTGAATTTTACCAAAGGGTCAGAATATCAACATGGAAAATAGTGTTGATGTCAAGATAGAAACCAAGGGGAAAAGAAAGCCAATAAAGCAGAATCCACTGAGCAAAGCTGGGAAGAGAGTCTGCAGAGCTGTTGGGTACATCACTGGAGACATGAAGGAATTTGGAGCCTGGCTAAAAGGTAAAGCTACTTCATCATGACTAATTAGGGGATTCCAAAGAAGAATTACATCAAAGAAGTAATAACTAACTTCTCAGTAATGTGATTCAAGTTGAAGCATTACAGAAACTACCTCTGCCCTGATTTATTTCCATTTTGTAGGAAAAAATCAGCTATGTGCAGAGATCCAGATATTGCTTAAATCTTGAGGATGACTGAGGTGACATTTACCTCCAACATGCCATGTACAAAGCGCATTTAGTCCCACAGAACATAACCTGGGATGGTTATTCTGTGCTCTGCCATTCTTCATAACGCTCCCTGTCCTTTCAGCTGAGCAGTTTCTGTCAAGCCTAATGCCACTGGGAAGTTAAATTACACATAGGTAAGTGTGTTTGGTCCCCATAATAAATCAGCAACGGGATACACACGCGATTTGCCATCTGAGGCACAGACATCATAAATTAGCCAGTTCATATGAAACTGGTCCAGGGTACTTTATAACGGGGGACTCTGGCAACCACACTGTTCATCTCAGTTTTCCAGCTGTAAGACTTCAGGATAGACCATAATAAATCCCAGTCAGGTTTTACAGTCTTGTTGATTCATTGCTTCAGTCGTGCTGCCAAGTTCAGGTGCCAAAACTCTCCCTGAGTTTCAAGAAAACCATCCCGAATAAGTATCATCTGTGCATTCTGGGGTGTTTTATTATTATTATTTCATTTGATCTCTTCCAGATAAACCTCTCATGATCCAGTTTATTGACTGGGTGTTGCGTGGGATATCTCAGGTGATGTTTGTCAACAATCCCCTCAGTGGGCTTATCGTAGTGGCTGGTTTCCTGGTGCAGAACCCGTGGTGGACACTCACAGGCTGTTTAGGAACAGTTGTCTCAACTTTAACAGCACTTATTCTGGGTCAGGACAGGTAAGTTCATCCTTTTCCCCTTCAAAACCAGACTGTCACTTCAATGCTGACTTACGTGTTAAACAAGTGACATGGATGAAAAGCACGTATCTAGCCTTCGCTGGCTATGTATCTGGTCTGGTAGGACCAAACAGATCTTCCCACCAGCTGCATCTGATGCAAAGGTACACTGGATGTAACTGCAGAAGGGGTAGCTGGGGCTGAGAGGACATGGGACTCAAGCATGTAAAATTGAAGGTCGGTGCACGAGCCTTGGCAGGCCGTCATCACACAGAGTCACGACTGCATGGGGAGGGAGGGGGTGATGCGAGCAAAGCACCCGCCGGGGAGAAGATTTCAAGATGGTTGTTTCTTTCACACAGATCAGCCATTGCAGCAGGCCTGTACGGCTATAACGGCGTCTTGGTGGGATTGCTCATGGCCGTCTTCTCTGCTAAGGGAGACTACCACTGGTGGCTTCTGCTGCCGGTAGCACTGGTGTCCGTGACGTGGTAAGTCGGATGGCTCCTCTGCTTCTTATTCCAGTCCCAGTGTCCCCACACTGAGACTGAACTGTTGTGTTTTTATGCACTATACAGACTACAGTGGGAAAAAAACACAACTGGCACATATGTGCTACTAAATCTGTATCATTATTTGCACTTTTAACTCAAATGTAATCCCAAAACAAATAAAATACCCACATAATCACAAATAAACCCAACGGGGAAAAGGAAAATCGATGGCTGATCATATGTAATTCAATGCCCTAAATGTTAGCCATATTGCTGCGATGCGTCGATTCATTTTTGTCTCGAGAGGAACATTATTTTAACCATTCCCTACCACCATCAACCACAAGTGTTTCATCTATTTAAGCCACCATATAAAAATGTCATGAAAATTTATCTCTCCTGACACAGAAGCTGTTCAGTGGTCCCAAGAAGTGATGGTTGGTGCTAATGAAAACAAACAACTAGCAATACTTTACTCGTGTATATGACACCATAATCTGCTAGGTATTTGGACAGCAAAAATTTTGAAAGCTGGTCTTTCACCCCCAAATGTCTAGTTGGAGATTGCGAAACCACACATATCATCTGTCTGCCTGAAGTTCATGTAGTGTTATACTCACTTTAATAAGCACAACTTTGATGTCAGCCTTTACTTCTCATCCTTAAGCTTGAACAAGGACACACAGCCACCTTCGCAGTTCACTCAGACCTGGCACAGGCGTCCTAAATTCAGTCCGCTTCAAGTACTGAAAAAAAAAAAAAAGTAAACACTGAGACTGAGCTGTGGAATAACTCCATTAAATCACTGGGTCCTCCCCATGAGCGGAGGATCTTGGCTCCTTCACGGTCACCAAATTCACCTCATATATTGCATAATATGACAGGAATCTGTACATTGCTAACTGCCCTGGGAAGGGTAGGAAATTTACTGAGTGACCCTAGCATTCTGATTTTATCAGAAAGACTGAGGAAATTAAACAGCTTTTTTTTTTAAAAAAAATAGAGTTAATTTCCTGCAGTTGTTGTTTTTGTTGTGGTTTTCTTTTTGCCTAGCTGACAAGCTCCTAGCGAGACCATTTTGTTCTTCTTTTAGCCCTGTTTTCACCAGCGCTTTAGGCTCAGTCTTCTGTAAGTGGGATCTGCCTGTTTTCACCTTGCCTTTCAACTTGGCCTTGACCCTCTATCTGGCTGCGTCAGGACCCCATAACTACTTCTTCCCTACAACTGTCATTCAGCCTGCAACAGCAACACCAAACATCACATGGACGGATGCTGAAATGCCAATGGTAGGATGCCCTAAAGATAACAGCCTTCTCCATTTACAAAGAAAACCACTATAGAACCATATTATCTTCCTTTATGGTACTGCATTATGGCCCGGCAATACAAAATTGCATTTATAAGATAGCTATTATCCAAAACATAAAGGTTTACTCTAGGAATTGACATTTTCGATAGCTTGAAAATAAGAATCTTTTTGGCATTTGGTATCTTTTATTTACAGTTGGATCTAAATTATAATCTTCAAAGATTCTTCTCTCGAATCTAATTACCCATTACTGCGTATATACTGATCAGCGCCCCATAGATAAGGTTGTGCTGAGACTACCAGTTAACTCACAGGTTAATTTTAGTTTTCCACGTAAAGAGTGCTGTGTTTTTAAAATTGCATCTTTCTGATGGATGCATCTACTACGGAAGAATGGTTACAAACTTGGGTGCAGGCACATATTCACATATTTTTAGTTAATATTCAAGTGGGACCTTTAAAGCAAACAACAAAAAAAATTATTCTCCTGCATAGCGTGGTAAACAACATAGATACTAGAATAATAGCTTTCCCCTAAGGCTCAGTGGACTATTTTGAAGGGTGCCCAGGGAGTAATTAAGAAAAGGAAGTTAATTGACACTAAATAGCAATCCACACGAGTGACATTTCTAAAAGAATGTTTACCATGGTGCATAATTTTATGGGGACCATAAATGGACTGTTCCACGTGAAGGAACACAACATTTTGATGAAAAGTGTCTTAAAACCATCTCTAAGCTGTAACCGGGTTGGGCTCTGTCCCACCAACCCAGCAACTCTCATTCGTATTCCTGGTGAATCCCAGGGAAGTTTCAGGTCTATAAACACATCAGGGATATAGCCTTACCTGAGTGAAGTCTTGTAATTCTGGCCAAGCCATTATTGGCCATTTCATCCTCAGATCTGCCCACTCAGAGGCGAATATCTTCTCAAAGGCATCATCTACCCGAGCACTTCCATTTCCTAGATTCACTGACATGCTCCATAACAGCAGGCAAAAATGGCCAAGTCAGCAGCACCTGTAAAGATGATGAGCAAACCTTTCCAAGTCCTTTCGCAAAAGACATTTACCTTTGATATTAGAGCAAAAACCCTGCACAGGAGCTCATGGCTAGGGAACAAGGCATGATTCATTTTCAGGGGAAACCCTGTGGAAATGGCCCTGCTGTCTCCCGAGAAGTTTTCAAATTTTCCACTTACAGTCCAGAAAGAGAGACTGCATCCAACAAATGCTGAACACGAACGTGGCCAAGAAAAATAAGGGTTTTTTTTTTAAAAAAAAAAGACATTACAAAGCAGATAACAAATTGTCTTTTTTTTCTTTTTTTGTTTTTGATAAAAAATTGTCTTTTTTTTCTTTTTTTGTTTTTTGTTTTTAAATCCCTGCAGCTCCTGCAATCCATTCCAGTCGGGGTGGGTCAGGTTTATGGCTGCAATAACCCCTGGACTGGAGGAATTTTCCTAATTGCTTTATTTATCTCTTCCCCGCTCATTTGTCTGCATGCGGCAATTGGATCAGCAGTGGGGATGCTGGCAGGTAAGGATTTGACTTGTGTCACAGATTTATACAAAAGCATGGAGAATAAAAGAGGAACTGCAATAGTGGAGCATTTACAGTAACAAATGTTTCTTCTATTGGAGAATGACTGCTTGGAAAAAAAAAATATATATACACTTCTGTTTTAAGAATTCTTTTGATTGACTTCCCCATTCTCTTACCTCATTTTATGGTGGTGGAAATCTTCAGGAGAAAGAAGAGTATTTTTGGCTGAAATGAATTTTTATCATGAAATACTTCATTTCTAAATATATTCTGATGGTTTTAGGAGCAGCTTAATAAAAGCCATAGCCATCAGTCTAAATGTGCAGGCCTCAGGGATGCATTTAGAGTTCACATGTACGCTTGTTCACTCATCTATCTTCTGCTGAAATCGTATGGCCAAATTCAGCTCAGCAGCACCAGGGAAATTCTGCCGTGATTGCATTAGATTAAAGCGGCTTTAGTCTTAGACCATAGCAACACGACTACAAATAAGAATTCGGCGTACGTATGCAGGCTAGAGCCCTAAAAAGTTGAATTCATGCCATTTCTAGCTGCTTTTATCTCTTTGGCCAAGGAATGACACATCTTTGATTTATTTTGCAGCACTGAGCTTAGCAACACCTTTTAGCAAAATCTACTCCGGCTTGTGGGGCTACAACAGCTCCCTCTCATGCGTTGCGATCGGAGGCATGTTCTACGCTTTCACCTGGCAGACACATTTGCTGGCAATTGCCTGTGGTACGTACCCTACGGATTTTCCCTACCGCTGTGTTTCCTTTTGAAGCGAGACAAGATGCATTTATGCTGGAGGTGGGCTGAAGCCAGGTGGCCACCTCTAGACAGGCACATGGACTTAGGCGAGACTGACGAATGATGGAGCTGGATGTCAGAGCCATTGCTCTAACGTACCCTGACAAAATAAAAGCAGTGCTTTCGCTTTCAGCCAAGAGTTGTGCTCAAAACAAGAGGTGCGATCAGTGGACGCTGATTAAATAAGGTCTTCGAAATTACATGCTTAGTTTTTAGGTGTTAATCGTGTTTGTTCAACATCGCTGGATGAATCATATTGTTTTTTCCAATCACAGATACCAGCTCAAATTCCTTCTTTGGAGAAGGACATATCTAACCTTTGAGAAAACTGGAGCTCAAAATCAGTCCGCATCTGTAGTTAGACGGTACAGTTTCCCCAGTCTATCGAAATGGATACCAAAGGCATGAGCTAGGCAACACAGAATGATTGAAGAATTATTTATAAGGCAATTCCATATGAAATTTCAATATCACAGTGAGCTGGGAGGGAAACTATTGCTCATTCAGTGCTCATATAAAAAAGATTTAGCTTTGTATCTCATTGAACCACATTCTAGCCCTAGAGGCAGGAGAGATGGGGGTAGAAGGGTTATTTTCCTGTTTAACCCCATCCATCAAGCTACATACTTTCCACGTCAGTGCATTTTTCAAAAGCCTCTGTTTCCATAGTCACATTTTTCATCACTCCAGCTCTTTTTTTGTTTTGCCTTTTCCATGAGCTCCAGGTTGCAGGGGACACAGTGCAAAGGAAAGAGCTTTAAGAGGGGGCTGTCCAGGCACGGTCATAAACATCGGCTGAGCTACCTAAGGCAGTGTGAGAGATGTTTGTCCTCGCTGTTGTCCTCCACGAGCAACTGAACTCACCAGGAACTACCTTTCTTTTCCACAGCGCTCTTCAGTGCCTACCTGGGAGCAACAGTGACTAACATGATGTCTGTGGTAAGTAGTGTATCAGCTAAGGTCTTGTTTCCAACAACAGATTTGAACACTGTATATTTTCCTGGCTTGTCAGGCGAAACACCAAGACGCGGAGAACAACTCAGCCAAAGGCAGAACTGATCCGGGAGAGGGGACACTGTCTGCCCAGGGGCTTGGTGTGGTTCCCACTGAAACAGGCCACTTACAATCATCACTTACCACTTTTCATCCTCAGAGCTTGCATGAACTGCCACAGCTCAGCCCTCAACACCTCTGAAATAATTCTATGCCTATACTTTGTGCCTGAAGCAATTGAGAAAAGGGCCCTCCGCATGTGTAAAGAAACCTCAAATTTGGTTTAATTGCTTTGCCCAAGTGCCAAAAGGCAGTCAGTACAACAGCCCAGGGAAAAGCTGAATGCTTCTGGTATCCGCTCCTGTCTCATCTCCATCCACTCCTACCTCATCTCCATCCAAGACCGCTGCAGATGCACAAAGAGAAGGCAGCCTTCTCACCAGAGCTGATAGATGTTGCAGGTTAATGCACAATGTCAAGATCTCATAAAGAAATCCTGCCTCCCCAGGGAGATACTCCATGCAAAACCAAGTCAACTCTTCCTTGAGAAAGCTTGTTCCAAGCTGCCTGGCTCTGAGTTTTGTTCAAGGGGCGGGGGATCAAATGAAAGACAGACACATGGAAAATAGGTGGTTTGTATTTTTCTTTGCAGTTTGGGGTGCCGTCAGGAACCTGGTCTTTTTGCTTGTCTGCACTGACCTTCCTGTTAATAACCACAAACCACTCTGCCATCTACAAGCTACCGCTCTCCAAAGTCACCTATCCAGAAGCCAACCGAGCTTATTATCTGAAGATGAAGAAACATCAGAGGTCTTGCTGTGAGGTATAAAGACCCAAGAGGAGAGATATTTTGCAGATTTAAGGCAAAAGTGCAAGATGTTTCCCCAAAAAACGTTATTTGTGTGCTACAAAGTCAAAAGACCAAAAAAAAAAAAAATCGCCACCTTCTGAGCGGAGAGACTTTTTTTACCACATTCGTTTTTTCTATCCTGATTAGATAGGACTGTGCTGCGCTGGAAGGACCTTTCCCAAGACCAGTCTGTAATGATTTAAAAGCACGTATGCCTGAAAAGACACTTGAATTTTAAGCAGTGGGGAAATGACTTAGAAATTGGAAAAAAAAAAATCTGTCCGTGAAATCCAAGTCACAGCAGGCGGACGTAAAGCAATAAAGAGCAGAGCATCTCTCAGCATCTGATGCGACTCCTAATAAATGGCTAAAACCAGCTTACAATGGCAACAGGATATGTCTTAGAGAGCTTCATACTAGCAGAGAAGTGGAATAAAGACTACCCTTTGCCAAGTAGAAAATAGGTGGTGAAGAATTCTGCCTGGAGGATCTCTCGAGCCCGGTGGAGAGAGACGTGCACTAGCAATCATCACACAAGAGATGGACACAGATAAATTGCAGGCAGTGTTGCTAACGTTTGCAAGACTTGTGGTAAAAATCACACTAATGGCATGGAGGGGGTGTCTATAAGCCCCAGCTTTTGGATGTTTTAATTTGCACTAGGCTCTAACATTTTCATGACAAAAATGTTTCAGGCCTACCCAGTTGCAGAGAAAAGTCTGGAAACCCAAGGCCAAGAAAGCAAATGCCAGTGAAAAGAATGGTTTTCTACCAAAAAAATGTAAGAATTTTCATGATTTTATGTTGATCTCATGATTTTTCTTAATACTTGAACTTGGTCACGGGTTAGCAAAGGAGGGGACAGCAGCAAAGTCATTGCTGCCCCTTTCCTATGCAATAAAATGACTCAGTTCAGTCGGTGCACAAGTAGAACTAATTTGAGCTGATCTTCTTGACCTCTCTCCCTACACCATCCCCCTCAGCCCATTTGTGTCAAGCAGCAAAACGGTGCACTGTCCCAGTCTGCTGCCGAATTTGCTGCTCTGCCATCTCCCTCCACACTGCGATTGGAAGAGGATGGTCGGAGGGCTGGTGGACGTAGCAGAGCTCTGCAGCAGACCAGCCATGTGTCACCTCCGCACAGGCTCCCGGGGTCTGCGGGTAGGGAAGGAGGAAGCTGACCTTGCACCCAACAGTGCCGGTCACCTCAATGGGTGCTAACTCAGCCACCTTTCTGCCTGGCTCATCGAGATACTTCATCTCATGATGAAGCTGACATGTGCACCACAAATCCTCCATGTGCTCAGGTCCTTCAGTTGGCTTTAGCCTACGTGCAGCAACATCGTTCCTGGGAAAGCTGAACAAAACCTGTTCCTCTTGTAGCAGAGGAAATAAAAAGTAGCCTGTGAATAGTGCTAGTGCCGATTTTAGAGGTTGGGGGAAAAAAAAACCATGTCTTTTTATGAACACCAAAAAGATCTGAGTGAAAAATATTTGGGATGAACTGCTGGCAGTATTTTCTGGTGAAGTGTTAGGTTTTCAGATGTTTGACAGTATTTCCGTATGACTGACACTCCAGAGATCACTTGTAAAAATGTACCATTTGCTGTGTTTTACTTGGTAAATACCTACATAATATTGTGTGGATTTGATTTTTAAAACAAATACTCATACTTCTTTGAGTTTGGTATAAGTTTTCCTCTATTTATCATCACTAAGCTCCTCCAAAGAGAGGTTCTCTCTTAAATCAGTAGTCTAGAAGGTGTTGGAAAACAAAATTATGAAATCAATGTATGGGGGGATATTTAGGAAACTTCTAACTTCTGCTCTTTGTACTTACGGCATGTTGCTGCATCAACACCTTCTTAAACGTACAAGTGCAAAGTCTGCCTCTGTACGGGAGGTACGATCAGCCGAAGGCACAGCGTTGTGCCTTCTGGGGCTGGAAACCTCCTCGAGACCAGATGAGGACTGGTTCCTAGGGGAGATGCTGAACGGACCCCCAGATTGGGGTTAGACAAGGTCATGTTCTGTCCAGAGGATGCACCTCTCCATTTGTCAAACTGTGATGGAAAAGGGTATCTTTTGGTGTCTGAACTGACACCTCCCCACCCAGACAATGTGTGCCCCAGAGAGGCAAACCTACAAAGGCTAGCTTTCACTCTTATGTCAAAATCTGCACTGGGGTAAGAGTACACGCTTTATGACCAGTGTAAATTGGCAGATTTCCTCCGACTGGTGCTATTTGAGCTTGCTGTTGCTGAGCAACAGGGGTATTTTGGCAGTACCATAAAGAAACCATATGCACAGAAGAGAAAAAAAAACAAAAGATGAAGGCCATGTCTCAGCCACTAGAAAGACTTTGCACATCATTCAGAATTAATTCTTCATTTTACGCTATCCAGAGAATTCATTCTTCCCGTCACCCCATGCAAAATAACAGTTATTTGGTAATTTGACATGTATATCAGTCAGAATATGCATATCATGCTTTTTCCCATTACCATTCATAACGCAGTCTTTGCTAACAGGACTAATTTATCTTATTATTGAGACTGTTCTTTTTTCTTTTTTTTTTCCCCCCCTTTACATCAAATAAATGTTATTCAAGTCACAAATTTTTTTCAAGCACTCTTTTTGCATTCTTGTTTTTGGCACACAGATGAGATCAGACTCATAGGAAACATTTATCCTGGGCAGGAGTTTCGGGGCTCTTCCCTGGACTACTTCCCTCTCAGTGACAGCAGAACATAGCAAAAAAGAGATGTCACTGGGTTTAACATTTCTAAAATAAAAAAAAATTAAAAAAACCCAAACCAACAACAACAAAAAAAACCCACACCACCAAACCACTTGAAAACAATGACGTCTACTTGGAAAACAGATTTCATCTGAAAGTCTAACTCAAATGAATGGCCTCACTGTCATTTCCGAAGCCACCCTCATTGCTTCTGTCTGACGTGCACATTTCTCTCCAAGACTCCCAGTTCCGTGTCAAGCAACTGCCCCAGTCTCCACCATGTGACACCAGCATGTCTCCTGCCCCCCAGTACCCCCTGCCGTGGTTCAGCTGCCCACTAGCCCCGGCTGCAGCCTCACACCTCGCAGTCCTGCACGGGGCTTGCTGTTGGACGTAAGGGGAGGGAAAGCATGAATGACAACTTAAGACAAGCAATCATGGGATGCTGAGCGAGGACCAGCAGCTTTTTGTCAGCAGAGTTCACTCCTCTCCCCTCCCAAAGCAGTGCTGCTTCCTCACGGAGCCCAGGGCATGCTGGCAACACCAGCAGTGGTACCAAGAAGTGGGCTACAGCCCTCATTTCCCCTTCCCCCAGCGAACCAGTATCGGGGCAAGCGCACAAGAGGTCAATATTTAGCCGTGCAGCGAAGACGCTACGCCCTTGGCAATGCTGAACTGGGAGGAGGAAACGTTCAGCCCAGGTCACCTGAAGACCAGACCCAAGAGTCGGCTGCAGAAGCAGGACCGAAACCAGGAGGTATGAGTGCAGCACGGCAGCATTCTAGATGCTCAAATCTGGGGACATGCAACAACACAATCTCCTTTATCTGATCCTCCAGGGCTGTTGCGGGTTTTGTTTGGTTTTACCATGTTGCACATGAAATATAAACAGTGTAAAGAATGCTTGTGTTGATAATTGTCTAATCTTTTGAATCTTGACATTTGGTATAAAGGGTAGAATTGACACAGAATTTGGCCATAGCTAGGAATAATTCACCCGCTAAGAAAGACGCCAGCCACAAGGAAGCAGGGCTGTGCATTCAAAAGAAATACTTGATTATTTCCCCCTCCTTCAGAGCATAAACATTGCAAAGGCTACTATGGCAAGTGAATTGTTAGACACAAATTAACATCTTTCTGATGCTTCCTCTTTGACTTGCCATGGAAACGTGCCTTCAGGTCGTAAGGCCTTTTTTTGTTACCAGGAGTTCAGCTTACCTGAGATGTTGAATGAGATGGGGAAACAGTATAACTCTCAAAGCAAAAGCAACCCAATGACCCCAGACCCTCACTCTGCTTATTCTCAAAGGCACCGACAGACCAAGGTAATTGGCAATTAGTTTCCCATGCATACAAATGGAAAGTGTTTAAGCAGGAGTTGGCAGCCTTAATATTTCATAGAACTGGGCCAGAAGACTTGGGCTTAGGTCCCCGAAGGCTACATCCATGCTGGCAAATGAAAAGGATCAGGTGCTGGCGCACGGGCACCCACCCTGCTTGACTGAGCATACATGCCCTGGCGTGGTCCCAGCCTTTGTCAACCACCATCCCCCAGACGGTGCCTAGACACAGCTCAGCAAGCAGCGTGGACCTCTCTTGGCTCCTCAGTACTTCCTACACCAGCTAATATTTAAAGACATTTCACTTGCAGAGGGGCTCTGAAGGTTAAATTACCCACCTTGGGGTTGAGCCCCCCTGACTTGCTATCACATTTCAATGCAAAGTGAAACAACTTTGCTTCATAGCGTTCCTGCACTTTTCATCAGCGAGAGCCCTTTCATGCCTAACTGTTTGCAAGAGCAGCCCCCTGGTCCTTCACAGGCTGGGGTTTAGCTCCTGCCCACCCTGCCTCGATCATCAGGTCCAAAGATGTCCTTGACGCACACGAGGGGCAGACCACAGGAGACAGTGGGGTTGAAGCCCTGCCCTTTGCCTGACACAGAAGCACTCTCCTGGGGTAGAAAGAGGAACAGAAATAAAGAGGGAGAGGGAACACGAGTAACTCTGCAACCTGGTGGTTCTGGGCATCACCCAAGGGTACCGCTGAAGGATGCCACCGAGAACCAGCAAACTAGACGCCCACTTCAATAACAATCAAGTTAGGTGGGACGAATCTGGGCTTTAAGTGTAGATCCACAAATGGTCTACATCCACAATGAAACAGCTCCCAAGAGATACCACATGACTCTGGCTAACAGTCAGCTTAAGCCTAAATTCAAGATTAGGTCCTCAAAACCCCTGCCTAGCTGTGCTTTACCCATAAAGTATCCAGAAGACCACATATTAAGAAAACTAAATTTAGGTGTCTACGTGTTAGCATATACATGTGGATTAAGTGTCAAAGTCCTACTCTAGTCAACGGAGATGACATCAATGCAATCCATGGAGTCCAGACAGCAATTCAGCTGGCCAAATGTGGGGGTCAATTTTAGGGTGTGCTGAATCGCTCTCTAGACCCCATGGACAATATTGACTAGAACTACACTGATCCTAACAAAAGTGTGGATGACTACTCATGCGCATACGCCAACAAGTAGGCTTATCATCTTGGGAGATGACCCCACCCATATACGCAGCTCCTTGCTCTTGGACATGTCCAGAACCACCTGCATCCTGAGCCGCTCATGCCTGGCCAATAACCCTCTTGAATGAAGTGCTCCTTCCACTTAACTTGCCTGAAGGGTCTAATCCAGCAGGAAGCAGGAGCATCTCAGAGCATGTTCACAGACCTACATACTCAAGAGGAGGAAGAAGTGGTGTTCCTTTCTCCATCCTGAACTGGTACCTGTGTTCCGCACCGTACCATATAGACATATACTACCCTTACCTACCTTGCTGTATGCTCTAACTATCTCACGTTATGTATTCACTTGGACAGAGACTGAAGTCTCTACCCTACTGTGTCATGAGTACTGGAAGTCTACTAAGGAAAAATGAAACAGCTTAGTGGCCTAATTCTAGATGGTAGCTCAAGGAACAGGCAAAAGGGTCTGAGGGACTT